AACAAATACTTGTGTTCTTTTTTGTGTATTTTTTTAAAAATTTTTACTATTCAATTTTTTTTTTTCAAAAATATCAAATCAAATAATTACTTTTTATTTTTTATATTATATTAAAAATAGGGCTGGCAAATAGATCATGCCGGGTCGGGTTCGGGTTCGGATCAGCTTAAACGGGTTACAAAACCTTTGACCTGAACCTGACCTATTTAATTAAATGTGTTGATATTTGCAACTTTAACCTGACCTTTTATTAATCGGGTCAACCTGAATCTAACTCGTATAACCCGTTTAATCTAAAAATTTTAAATTTTAATTTAAAAATAAAATTTATACTAACAAAATTTTTAAATGCATAATATATATACATATTAAAGCAAAAAATTATTTATTCATATCATGAAACCGATATTCAAGAATTGAATTAACAATGAATTGTATTGATAAAATTTAAAAAATATATTTAAATTTAAAATAATATTATTAAACAGGTTAGACGGGTTATTTTCAGGTCGAAAATGTAGACCTTAACCTGACCCATTTAATTAAATGTGTTAAACGGGTTTGACCCGATTATTAATTGGGTCAAAAATCTCAACCCAAATCCAACTATTTCAGGTCAGATTCGGGTCGGGTTATCAGATCGGGTTAATTTTTGCCAGCCCTAATTAAAAATTTATTTTACATTCAAAGCATTACTATTAACATATATTTATATCACATCAAATAATTATTATAATTTAATTTTTTACTATTCAAATACACAAACTCAAAAATCAAACCTACAAACAAACACGTTTTTTGAAAAGTAATTTTAATTTTAATGTGAAATCATCATAATTTTACGTAAAACATAGTAGTACTATTTTTATAAAATATATTGTGTTCTTTGATGCGGTTTGAAAAGTTTCGATTTAAATTTGGTGTTAGACTATTGTACTCTCTCCGTTCCAAAAAAATATCTTATTGATAGTGGGCACGAGAATTAATAAATAATAATATTTAATTAAAAGTGGGTATCAAGTAGAAAGTCAAAAAATTGAAATACCCTTATTTTTTTAATGATTTTAAAAAATAAATTAGAGTAATAATTATGAGTAGTTTGGAAAAATAAGAATAATTTTGTATAAAGTGGGGACTACGATTACTAAATAAAAAAACAAGATAATTATTTTGAGACAGTCGAAAATAAAGAAATAAGACAACTCTATTAAAACGGAAGAGAATGGAATGTTTTGTGAAAAAGATATATATATATATTTTTTTTTCTTTGAGAAAAATGCAATCTAAATAGTAAAATATCTAATTATAGATTTGGGGCTAAAGAAGTGTATTTTCGTCTCAACTAATTTGCTTTTTTAACTTAAATACAAAGTTTTAGGAATTATGTTTGTTGATGTATTTTTTCAACAAACAAAAAGTAAAATTCAAATATATGGAAATATCCTTAAATTTGATTAATTAGTATCTGATATTAGGAATCTCTAAACACTTTACGGTACATAAGATAATTAACTGGAAAATTAAAATACTGGAAATTTAAAGTGGTGATCCCCGAATCTAACTTTGCTTTGTTTGAAGTTGATTGAAGATGCCTTCTCCAGAAAAATCCAAATCCTTAAATATTCCTTCAAGAAAACACTTGGAACCGTCCCCTGGTCGGTTACAACAACCGCCGTCAACCGCCCAAAAGAAACGTTTTGAAACGTCGTCTGGTCAGTTACAGCGACCGTCTCGCCAACTCCATAACCCAACTGACTAATCCAGCGACTAACTGGTCGCTGGACCAAAAGACTCCTTGGCTACCCCACCAAGCGACCAAACTACTGTTCACTAAAGTGGGCAATCAATTACCAGACCTTACTTCGCCCGACCTCCGTAGCAGCCGACTTGCAAGCTTTCCGACCTATGGACCATCCGACCCGCTAACCAACCGACCTTACTATCCGACCGCAGACCTTCCGACCTATGGACCATCCGACCCGCTAACCAACCGACCTGACTATCCGACCGAGGATCTACCGACCTGCCTATCCAACCGCAGACCTTCCGACTTGCCTATCCGACTGCAGACCTTCCGACCTACCCATCCGACCGAGGACCAACCGACCAGATCAACCGACCGAGGACCAACCGACCTGAACGCAAATTTTTCTTCTTTTCTGCCCGACTTCAGGTCCTACCTTCCTTTAAGACCTTGCTACCATTATTTTTATTATTATTATTATTTTTCGTACGTAACAATAAGCCTCCTCCTCAAGACTCCTAAGCGTCACTTTCAGTGATCTTTTTAGGAGTTTGCAGGCCGTCATCCGAGGCCACATCAGCCTCAGATCCGACCTTCTTCTCTTGAGGCTACGTTGGTCCCGACCTCCATTCCTCGTAGACTGGCGGTGGCCTACACGTTGGTCGACCTTGCACTATCATGTCTTCAACACCTCCCCCTGACTGAAGCCGCAATCATTCTCTTTAAAAAATAATTCTAACCTTCCTGCCTTGGATGCTAAACTAGGCAGATCTCGAACATCGTGGGCTGTCAAAGCCTCCCGAAGATTGGTGTGCATTTTCCTGACCACCAAAGTGGTCATGTCGCTTTCTTCAATGATTGTCGGGCAACGTCCCTTCATTAATCGCATCCGTTCTATGAACTGGGAGGCGGTCTCCTCCGGCATCTGCTCGATCTCACAAAGGTCTGTGAGTGAGACTGTTGGAAGATGAATAAAGAACTTTGCATGAAAGGCCGATTCCAAACCTTCCCAGGTTTGTATTTTTCCAGGTGGTAGATCGACAAACCACGAAAAACTGTTCTGGTAGGAGACAATCTAAACAGTTGTAATTTGTAAAAGGGGTTGTTACCGATCTCTCCTAACTGTGCGGTGAACCGACCAACATGCTCTCTGGTGGAGGATCCGTCTTCTCCCAAGAAAACATGAAAGTCTGGCGGTCGATAATTCCTCGGGAGAGGATAATCGTTTATGATCCTTTCCGGAAATGGCCTCTGATACACCGGTCGGTTCATTGTTTGCAGATTAATTCCGAAATGTACCCACAAGACTCGAGCGATTTCCTCCGAATCTATCTTGGGTGGAACAAAATCTTCCCTAGAGAAGGCTGGCTCGTCTGGGATGGGATTATGAATATGATCTCCCAATCTTTCTTCTCTGGGGACAGTTGGTTCGGTTGGGATGGGATTATGAGCCTGTCCTCCCATCCTCTCATTCGGTTGGGTATTATCAACCCTCGGTCCCAAAGGAACATTATCTGGGAAAGTTAGAGGAGTCTTCCCCATATCTGTTCAGTTGAAAGTTGTGACGTTTGGAAATGTACTGTCAACGTATGTAGGCCCTGCAAACGTTGATCCTGGAAAAGTCGCCTGAAAACGAGAGGGTGATGGAGGCATGTTTGAATGCAGGGTGAATCTGAAGAACGCCTGATCCAACATGTTCTGCATTAGATTTTGTTGTTCACGCAACATGTTCTGATGCTCGCGCAATATATTCTGCATAGCCAAAGTTTGCTGATTGTTCAATTGTTGAACATAAGACAACCAATCGGTAGGTGGTTGGGGAATCTCCCCTGGATTTGACATGCCAGGTGGTAAAATATTTTCTCCCACTAGTACTGATGATGATTGAGGTTGTGAGCCTGCCATAGTGATCTTTCTGATGATTCGGCCAGACTTAAGTTGTATGACATTTTCTGATGATGTAGGATCAGCAATCTTGTCTTTCTCCCACTGTGGTCGTCAATTTGGTGATGTATTTTTTCAACAAACAAAAAGTAAAATTCAAAGATATGGAAATATCCTTAAATTTGATTAATTAGTGCCTGACATTAGGAATCTCTAAACACTGTACGGTACATAAGATAATTAACTAGAAAATTAAAATACTAGAAATTTAAAGTGGTGATCCCCGAATATGACTTTGCTTTGTTTGAAGTTGATTGAAGATGTCTTCTCCAGAAAAATTCAAATCCTTAAATATTCCTTGAAGAAAACGCTTAGAACCGTCGCCTGGTCGGTTACAGCAACCGCCGTCAACTGTCCAAAAGAAACGTTTTGAAACGTCGCATGGTCAATTGCAACGACCGTCTCGCCAACTGCATAACCCAACCGACTAATCCAGCGACTAACTGGTCACTGGACAAAAAGACTCCTTGGCCTACCCCACCAAGCGACCAAACTACTGTTCACTTAAGTGGGCAATCAATTACCAGACCTTACTTTGCCCGACCTCCGTAGCAGCCGACTTGCAGACTTTCCGACCTATGGACCATCCGACCCGCTAACCAACCGACCTTACTATCCGACCGCAGACTTTCCGACCTATGGACCATCCGACCCGCTAACCAACCGACCTGACTATCCGACCGAGGACCTACCGACCTGTCTATCCGACCGCAGACCTTCTGACCTGCCTATCCGACCGATGATCTACCGACCTGACTACCCGACCGCAGACTTTCCGACCTGCCTATCCGACCGAGGACCAACCGACCTACCTATCCGACCGCAGACCTTCCGACCTGTCGATCCGATCGAGGACCAACCGACCAGACCAACTGACCTGAGCGCAAAATGTTTTTCTTTTCTGCCCGACTTCGGGTCCTACTTTCCTTTAAGACCCTGCTACCATTATTTTTATTATTTTTTGTGCGTAACAATGTTATTAGTAAATAATTAATAAGTGTATTATTTAAACTAATTATACATTAAGATGACTAAATAGTTTAATTTAAATAAAAAAATTTTTAAAATATAATTAAAATTTATAATTATTTTTTTAAAAAAAATAATAAATTTTTTGGATTAATAAAAAAACACAATCTGTAAAACGACTATTTTTTTATTACGTAATTATTTAATGAATTATGCGTTTATTTATTTTGGGAGTTAATTAATTAGAGAATAACCACACATAATGAATGCTCACACCACCGATGGCATTTTGGTAAATTCATTCAACCGAGAGGGCAACATATCCGCCTCCCACTTTTCTATAAATTTCTAGAACTGTCGCTGCCCACCGCCCGTCGCTTCGCCCTTTCGTTGAGTTCCATTCCCTCTCCTCAACAACGCCGCCGATTCCTCCGACGGCGCAGCCACTTGGCTCTCGGTCATCTCTCCGGTCCAGATCCGCCGCGCACGGCGCCGATTCTCAATTCTCCGGCAGTCCCAACCTTGATTCCTCTTTCATTGAAAATTTCTCCCAAAATTTGAACGATTTTCTCTGCGATTACTATATTTTACGAAAATTCAATTTTACTTTCTTCTTATTTGATTTTTGATTCAAAATGCACAATTTTTAGTTCCTTTCGTTTCTCATCTGCAATTTGAGATTTCCGAAATTGTTTCCAATATATTTTTGTTTTTTCAAAATCGAATTTGTCGCGTTCGTAGCGAAGTTACTCTTTTGCCCTTAGAAGATCTTGCTGACGTGGCTGCTATTGATTTTCTGTCTTCGGATGAAAATCAGACGGTCAGGATGAGCTACAGTTCTCCCAGAGTACTAACGCCGAAGGCGGCGTCACGGAAGCGGAAGGAGATGGAGTCCGTTCATATCGCCACGTCATCGAGTTCTCTAACGTCCGTCACTCCTGCCGTTAGTGTCCCCAAGCCGACTACGACGTCGTATAAGGGACCCGGCCAACACCAGCCGTCCTCTAACCGGCTCCTAGCCGGCTACATGGCTTTGGAGTTTTTATCCAAAGGCACTCTCCTCGGCCAGAGGTTTGAGCCGGCTAGAGCCGAACCGAGGAGAGACAAGCCGAGCCAATCTAGCGAAGGCGATCCGAGCGGAAAGCCGAAGCCGCAATGCTATGCTGACGTGTCAGCCTTGCTGATGAGTGAGGGCGGGGCCCACATTCCTGGAGTAGTGAACCCCACGCAGTTAGCCAGATGGATTCGGATGTAGACACGTGGACGGCTACGATCGTCTTCTGTTTGGCGATCAACGTGATCTTCGTGTGCAGGATTGTAATTGTTTCAATTGGTTTCGCGGCGCTCATTTTCTGCAAAATGTATCAAACAGTTTCAGGTACGGATCAGGATTTCTTCATGGATGGTGGTGCTGTAATGCGTTGATGCCTATGTTCTTAATCAATGCCAGACGTGTGAGTCTTCTACTCAAGGAGCTTGTTTGCAAATTCTGTTTGGTGGAAATTTGGTAAGGATTCGAAGATTTTTCGTTAATCGTACTCCTGCATATGAACACAGAATTAGTTACTCATTAATTGCACTATCCTCTTAAGAGTTTCTGTATAGAGTCTAATTGCACTATCCTTCAATAATTGCGCTATCTAAGTTACTTTTTTTGGGGAAATTTTAGTTTTAGTAGCGAAACTGCATTCCTTCATGTTTGAATCGTCATATATCCTTCATATGCTAGAGCTTTAGGAATTGTTTGGATCGTATTATATATAGTGGTCTATATTATATTTTTCTTTACCAATTTTCTTGAGTGAATCGGAGTTGTGACACACCATGGCTGCAAGACCTAGCTGAGGATAAGAATTCCTTGTAGTATGACTTATTATGGACTTACATTTTATGTGGATAATCCATTTTGTGATTAGCCTGTTGCACCTAGTGTAAGTATTGACAAGGGAATTATCATATACATCAATTATTGGATACCTTGATTTTGCTCTGGATTTAGGATATTGCTTTCTTAGTAGAAACAGTCGCCATTGTTGTCTGAGGAGGATCACCATTCTTGTGGTAGTGTAGAATTAGGTTGAACTTAGATGGACATGTTCATGCTGCGAGTTTTCAGTTAAAAAATATGCTTACATGAAACTTAAAAATTTGCGTAGCTTTAGAAAATTAAGATTTTGAGTAACTATAAGTAGTTAATTTGGATCATCAGATTGCTTTCTATATATATGGTGCCTTCATATTGCTATACATAAATTACAGATTTTTAATTATGATTGATCTTTTTGTGGGTTTGGTATATCCGATTGAAGGTTTATATATACATAAATTAGTACTCCCTCCGTCCCAAATAGGGTGCTATATTTAAGTTGGGCATGGGATTTTAGATGGGAAGTATTAAGCAGGATAATTGAGTAATTAGGTGATGTGATGGAGAGATAAATGTATATTTTATTTTTTATTTTTATTAGGGTGATGTGATGGGATAAAAGTGTGGGGATATAGATTAAATATAATTAATTATTTCCTAATTTAAAAATATTGCAGGGTGTTTAGGACATATCAAAAAGGAAATGTTGCACGGACGGAGGGAGTATTAAATAGTGTTCAAAATCTTTTAGTTTGTATTGAGTTTGGAGGTTTGGACTTTTATCTAAATAATACTTAGATGGAATGTTTTGGAGATTAAAAAAGTATATACATATATATTGTAGTACAAATAGGGTGTGTTTGTTTGGGGGATTGGATTTTAATCATCTCATTTTCCTCCATTCCTTTCAAAATATCAAATCAAACACATATTTTTTATTTTTTATATTATACTAAAAATCAAAATCTAAACCCCGAAACAAACACACCCTATAATGTAACTTTAAAAAAAAAAACTCAAAAAAGGAACACAGATTCCACTCCCACACTATTTATTTGCTTGTTATTTGTTTGTTTGAAGGCCTGCCATTGGGTTCACATCAAATACCTTATACCTCCTACATATTTAGGTAACATCACATAGTATTTCAAATAAAATATATTACTCCTTCTGTCTTAATTCAAAGGATTTATTTGAGGTTTTATAGTAGATTAAAGAATTAGAATATTTTATTGGTGGAAAGTATGTAAAAGATTTTGATATTTTTGCCTTTTGATTTTACGAACAAAATAATTTTATGTGTAATGGTATATTTGTAATTTAAGTAGAAGTTAAAAAGAGTATTTTTATATTAGTATATGATTATATTTTCTAAAATAGGAAAATGATACTTTTGAAGGACCAACGAAACTAGTAAAAAAAGTACTTTAAGTTGAGACTTAGGAAGTATTTTAGGTGTATTTCTTTTAATGAGTTTGAAAGAAGTTTGGTATTAAAAAAATATATATTAAGATGTTTTGTGAGAGAAAAAAGTATATTTTTTTCGAAAACAAACAGTAGAAAAACTGAAAATTATTAGGACATGATGTATAGTTATTCAGGGATGATTGACTTTCCATGGAATGCAGTGGATTACTTTGAAAATAATTTTGGGCATGAAGTTACTCATACTTCCCAGTTCCAATTCAAATGGTCATTTTAAGTTTTGTAGTGATTAAAAAATAATAATACTATTAAGAAGGATATCATTTGTTTTTTGCGCTATTATATTTAATATTACAAATATTTTATATTTGTATAATTTTTTTTTTAATTTATACTATATATTAATATAATAATTAATATTTAAAGATCTGGCGAAAAGTCAATGATACTCTTCTTTAGAGATGAAGATAATATTTTATATATAAATTAATTATATATAATTGTATATTTGTAATTTACATAAAAACTAAATGGTATTTTGATACTACTATGTAATTATTTTTTCTATAATAAAAAATTGATATTTTTGAATAAAATAATTAAAAAATGATAAAATAGTACTTTGAATTGGGACGAATATAATCTTCAAAACAAATGTAAAGATAGCTAGCTGAGAATTCATTTGGCCTTCTATTTTTGGGGAACACACCTCTATTTTATAAAAATAGTATAAGTTCTTATTTGTTTGGTGGGTTTGAATTTGAGTTTTTAATATTAAAATTTTGAATTGAAATGATTTTGATATAAATAGATATTGGTGTTATATTTTAAATATAAAATTAATTTGTAATATAAATCTCTAAAAAATAAATTAAAGATGTTTGATATTATATTTTGAAAAAATAATTTATAGATAATGTGCAACAATATAGGTGAAAGGAGCGTGAATTCTGACCTCACAACCACGAATCTACCGCCACACCACATTGTGGTATCCTTTATGGGACTTGGACAAAATTGGTTTGATTTTACATATAATTGTGTTGGTAAAGAATGAATGTGCATCATGACATCTATTAAATTAGTGCATTAGATGAACTTAGGCTATCTCCAGTCCGTTAACTTTATTTATCCAATTTTAACTCTAAATATGCAGTTGTTACGGTAATTTTACTTCAATTATAAATCCATTTTTTACTATTATTCTTCAAATATTCAATTTTTCTATTATTTTAAACAAATGTTTATTTTTATAATTTAAAATAATTTTTTAAAAAAATTTAGAAAATTTTAAAATAAATTTTAAATTAAAAATATATATATATAGAGCAACGCAAAAAAGTGGCGCAAAATTTGGCGTCGGTTGAAGACAACCGACGCCAAATAACCCAACCCAGCGCAGGTTGGAGATAGCTCTTAATTTACTCATCAATATAGTAGCAAAAATGTTATGCAATAAAATGAGGCTCGAATACACTCGATTGATTTGATCAAATTCTAACTGAACATGCCATTGCTTCACTACTTGGACACCTTCAACTATTTTACAATAATTGGGTACCAACGAAATAGGATGGCCGTTTAGACAGAGATTTTTGAAAATTCTTGGGGGACGTTTGATACAGAGATAATTGAATTGCAAAGAAACGAAAGTATAGAATACAGGTATCTGAATAGATCGAACAAAAATAAATGATTAATCAGACAAAAGAAAGTTATAACGAGTGAGAATTCACGAAAAAATATATTTGGTGATTTTAAAAAAAAAAATTATAAATTATATACCATGTTTTGTAAGATTATATTTTGTATAATATTTTAAAAAATCGTAAAAATTAAATACTTGAAAAATAAATTTAATATAATTTTTGTAAAATTGAAATAATATAATTTTAAAAATTATAATAATTAAATAGTAAAAAAAAAGATAATTTTGTTTTATAACATAATACTTTACCATTCATTTCTTTCATTTTTTTTAGTACGAGAGATAAATGAAATAAGAGAAATAAAAATAAATTTATTTCTCAATTTTTATTTTCTGACTCAAAAAAAAAAAAAAAAAGATTTTCATTCTCTTATGTCAATTCGTTGTGAGGGAATGTTTGGTACAAAAAATTTTGATTAGAGAAATGGAAATTCATTTATCTTATTTTCATTTTTTCCATTTACTGAGAAATTGAAATAAATGAATTTGTATAATTGGATGTGTATTTTTATTTATTTAGTTATTATACTATTTAATTTTTATAAAAGAGTATTGGTCCAAGTTTATAAAAATTCATATCAAAATTATTATTATTATTATTACTATTATTATACATGACAATATTTATTTTAAATTTTTTTTCAATGAAATGATCTTTTATTTATTATTTTCCATAATTAATTTATTCTCTTAGTTTTTATTTATAATATACGGTCTCATCTAAATTGATTCATCCAATTTATTGTATATATATATATATATATATATTCCCTCCGTCCAATAACAATATATTACACAAATGTTATTACCTTTATTTCACACATACTAATAAGGTTATTTTAGTAATTTATACTTTATTCCTACTATATCCCAATGTAATACTAATATTTCTAAAACTACTTGCAAAAAGCAAATGAATATTTATTTATGGCACTGATGGAGTATATTTTTTACGTTTTTCAACATGAATTCTATGTTATACCAAATAGAAAAATTAATTCGTATTTTCTATTTAATTCATTTTTTGTACAATTTATTTTTCTGCAATTTTATTCTCTCTATAAAAAAAAATTAATTTTAAAATAATAAAAAATTATTATTTAATATAATATTTTATGAAAAAAATATATATTTAATGTGATTTTTAAAAAATTAAACAATACAGATATTTATAAAATTATTGTGTAAATATAGCGTGTCTATATATATATATATATATTGTAAATCATGGGTTGTATATGCTTATTCATAATAATTTATATGACATAATATATATATATTAGTCAAGAGGATGGATGTGGCGTCCAAAATATCCATACGCTTCCAATGCAAGAAATGGATGAGAGCCAAGCATTTCAAATAAAATATTTACTCATGCATGCACCATTATTATTATTATTATTATAATATATAATTTCACTTGATATTATTATAATTTAAACCCTATATATAACTAATACCTACAATATAGGTACAAGTTCCACAAAATTCTTACCCGCGTCATCAAACCCAAATACCCTATCTATACATATATATATATATATATATATAATATATTACTCCCTCCATCCCACGTACTATGTCCATGTTGCCATTTC